GAGAGCAGTCTGTGAAAAAACGAGGGCTAAAACAGTGCAGGAATTTCCATCTTCAGTTGTGTTAATTTAACTTGTTAGCAAAATGCAAAATGTCAGAGCCTCAAAGGTGAGGTTTGACAAACCTAACTTACTTGCGGGCAAAATACATTGCAATGCCCAGGGTCAACCACTGCTAAGTGAAGAAGGACTGCAATAAAGACAAGGAGGGAGTGATTATGCAGAAGAAGATGTCTCCTAATGTATGCAAACGGGTATGGTGCTGGAAATCTTTAGACATATTAGCAGCATGGCTCTAGGGATGGCAATGTCAGCTCGTCGGTACTCTCAACAGCTATTTTGTACATTATTCATTTTCTACCACCACCGTGAAGTTGACATTTCTGTTGTATAGTGAAATGCCATGACGTTTGGTACAGACCTGTAATCATTTTAGTGATCCCTCAACTCTCCATCTGGTTTATGACCAAATACTGAAACTAATGGTGGTAAATAACAGTAAATATTAAACCTGCTAAACACCCATTAGCATTTTCACTGTGAGCATGTAGAATGTGGACGTTGGCATTCATTCAAGATTCTTGGAACCTTGGCACTAACTAGCAAACCAATTTTGAGCAGAACTATTACAATATAGGATTCAATGACCTGAATACAAGCCCACTCTGGTTCCAAAGAAAAACCTGCTATTTTTGTGTTTCAGATTGGAACAAATGCTTTGGGCTCTGAACAAATGTATTCATGGTTGAAAAGTTCAGAACAGTTCAAAACTAGGTACGTGAAGCAGAACGGAGACGGTTTTCTGTTGGAGGAAAAGGCCCAACGGTCACAATATGCTTGTGGACTTTTTGTTGCCATTAAATCGTCTGCCAGCCAAATGAATAATTCCTTCAAGTCTCTGATACCCTAAAAGAAGCAGAGAAGATAAACAAATCTTAAATCAGTGCCATAGAATAACACTGAACCATTAGAACACTTAACAGGTTCATAAACATACACCTCTGAGTTTTACTCACAGAGCATTTTGAAAGGAAAAATAGAACAGCGTTATACTAAACTGCTGTAAGCATTAGTTGTTTCATTACTTTATACCCAAAAACATGGCTGTTAAGACTGACAATTTGCATTTGGAATGTACAACAAAATAATGGAGTAAGTCACTCTGAGCACAATTCTTATCTGAGGTACTAGAGGAAGAGCATTAGACGACACACAAACACAGCACTTCAGGATTTCACACACACTTCCTGAGAGGCACTGAGCAAAATGTTTATCCTCATTTTAATCTTATTTTACAATAATTTAAACCAATCTGTGCCCTATGTTCTCTGGGCTCAGAATTTTGCACTGATATTATTTTTGCAAGAAATGTACATGGAGATTGAGACCTCTTTTAATTAGACAGGAACTCTCTGCTGACAGTTTGACAGCTTGATGCCGCAATGAATGCATTCGCAAACAACTACAAGAAGACAATGAGAGGCTTTTACACTTAGAGGTTTTATCATCCTGAAAATCACTATCTTCTCTTGGCATCACAGAAAATCCCTCCATGTCCCTTCTTTCTTAAATATTGCCTACTTTACTTTTGATGTTCTTTTTAGTGCCTAACATGCAGAGATGGGTAGACACGTTGTAGCAGCAAAGACCCATGAATTGCCTGTCTCCTTTAGAAACTTGCAGTGTGTTTAATCAGAACTTTTGTGACAAAGCGGTGTGAAGTAGAGGCCAGCAGACAAGCTCCATTGATGCTGAGGCAGGCTGATGATGACTCAGGCATGATGCAATGGAGGATAAGGAGGAGTAGGAGAAGAGAGAAGCAGAAAAATAGAGTGATTAGGTGTGGGGAGTATTCATTTAGGAAGACAAACAGCTTCATTTAAAGCTAGCCAAGCACAGAGACGGCCTCTCCCACAACAAATGGGTTGAAATTTGCATCTTTTCGCTGACGGGGGATCCGAGCCCCATCCTCTCTCTCTTGGTCTCACCTCTCAAGTGATAATAGATTATCTAGGGTCTCGCCTGAAGAGCTACTGTCTTTGATTTGCTTTTGAACACATTTTCTGTCTGCTTTTGCCGAGGTAATTCCTCTCTGCTCTTGATGGGCTGCTGATATTGTCACAGCCGCACTTATCCACAGTATATAAGGGCTGTTTGCTGTTTTGTTTCATTCCTTGACTGCATACAGAAAAAACAAAGAGTGCTGAGATAGCAGTCATTTCACGAGTATGATACAGTAGAAATGCCAAACTGAATACCATTATATTTGATTTCTCCCTATCTCTCACAATCACAGTCTACTGGTGGCTTTACAGCTGAGAATGAAATTAAAGTTTGAAGCACAGCAAACAAACAGATCATAATGATTATCTGCTAAACACTCACAAGTTGTATATATGATTTTTCTGCAGACTGTTATGAAGCAGAAAATGCTTTGCAGGTGAATATAGGACAGTCTGCCTCTGTCATCCATCACTCATCTCTCTTGTGTTTTCTGTGCTTAAAATCTTGTGTTGCGAATCCAAATGATGTTTAGAGGGAGTTAAATAATCTAAAGGAAGTGTATTTACTTACTGTTATCTCTACTGCTTTTGCTCTGGTACAGTGAGCGTATTTCAGCTTTGTAATTGACCCAGTGCATGTGGGTTGGTGGGAATGAAGGGGAGGAAGAGTAGCCACTTGTGTGTGTGGGTAGGTGTCTGTATAGATGAAGTTGGATTACTGCCATTATCCCAAAGAATCAGCACCTACACATGCCTTTAAGGTTTCCACTACACTTGACATACAGTACGTTCATGCAGTTACACAAATAGTAAATATTTAGCACTGGATACTTGCCTCCATCGCCCTGCCAGGGAGATTTAACAGCCCGGGCAACACTTTATGTTGTTCCTGTTTGAGAGGTTGTGCGCAAATAAAAAGCCTTAGCATGGAGAAATGGATGGAAATGGAAATTTTCCATCTGAATTACTTTCAGGTATATTTGACATTTCTATTATGAAGCCGGGGGTATTTTTCATAGTAAGCAGTTTCCTGAATATGTACAGAGAGAGGCTTTTCCAGTGCATGTTTACACTATGTGTATAGGGCATTCAAATGAAAAACATTTTGATAAAGAGTCTGGAGGATGGTCTGTTTTTAGCTTTTCCAAAAGCACAACAGCAAAACTGTAAGTAATGGGCAGTATGTTTATCTGCTCTAACATAAGCTGCAATTGTTAACATGTCCAGCTAATAAGCTCAAAAAGAAACCAAGTGTTACTACATCTGAAAAGCGTCATAACTATATGTAAGTTTATACTCCAGCAACCCCCACCAATGTAACTCAAGATAGCATTACGTTTGTCAAACATCGTAGTTAGTTCTCTTCGCAAAAGCCTTTTTTGTTTGGGAGAACATATAGTTTGAAAATGTGAACATGTAAACTAAGCAGCCAAGAAGGTTGTGTTAGAATGTATCAGACATTTTCCTCATTCTTGACTGACTAGCTCTACGCTGCAGAACAAGAACAATACTTTCCATGTCTTCCATGAGATATCTCTGCCTGAGATATGCAGTTTTGGACTAAACCCTTTCATCATATCATGTATGTAGCAACGCAGCGTAAATGTTATAGCCTTTTTGCAAAAGTCAACCGGAGACAGCATTTTAAAACCAATGCATGGAGTTAACTTTAGCTTAATTAGCTAGCTAGCCATAGCTGGTCAAACCACTGTTTCAAAATGTCTTAAGAATTTTGAGTGGCACATCATTGTAAACCGCATACATTCAGTGACGGATTACAAAACCTTATTTATTCATATTCGGCAGACATATCTACTACTCTCTACTCAAATGTTATTGTTTTTGGTTTGTTTATATAAATGTGTAAATGTACATATTTCTCTATGTCTTTTTTGTTGAACTTCTCCTATTTATTTATGCTCTTAGTCTGTCTTAGCAAACCTTCCTGTTATGAAACTGGAAAAGATTTATATCAGCAATAAAATAGCCTCTTGGCTAACTTTGGCACATTTACAGCAATCGTTTATCAATTTGCACTGTCCCTGCTAAATAAACCAAGAAATAAATAAGTTGTGTCATATTTGAACTTAAAAACATTGTAGTCTTTTTGCCTCATTAGTTTGTGTTTATTTTATGTTTGTCCAAAAAAGTTAACTTTCACCTAATCAGCATTTTATGGCTCGAATGTTTTCTGCTCAGTGTGTGCAGCTTTCTTCAACGGCACCGTAAAAACCCTGAAGTTAATTCCACCATCACTTGACATTTATAGCACATATTATATCTTGACTTGTTTTTTCCCCCCGACTCTGCCCTAAATTGTCTGCAAATATTTTTTTTTACCTCGAAGAGGTGGAGGAGACCTATTTTCCAATTACAGATCTTGTCTTAAGGTGTTAATTGCTGACTGACCTCTGGAGCTGTTGTGAATGCCGTGTGGATTTTTTAATAACCTCTAATCGCAGTGAAACAGAGAGCAGTAATAGAGAAGAGCCACGCTGCTTTTTAACCCTGCATCCTTCAATAAGGTGTAATCTCATACAAACACAGAAGCCGGTCGTGTGCCAAGTCAGAATGCTCTTTTGCAAAACATGAGCCTCTGTGATTCATGCTCCTCCGACATTAAAATGACACACGGTTTTGTTTTGTTTGGGTTGAATCAGGTCAGCTGACTAGAAAAGAGCAGGATACGTTTATTGGCATTTAGGTTTTTAAAAAGCATCAGGTCTTGCTTTGTTCCTGGATTTCAGCTGAAACCATTTTGGTATTGCAGAATGAAAAACATTTAAAGCAAAACTGACTTCAGAATGATCATAAATATACCATGTTTTACTGCTGCCACATTGCATTGTTGCTTTTTTACATCTCCCTGGATCATTAGTGTTCATATTCTCCTCACAATGATGAGTGTCCAGGCCAACAGTAGCGCTACATTTTGCAGAATGAATCAATGAACACCTCTTTCTCCCTCTCCTAATGTGTGTGTATTTTGTGTGTTTGCAGGCAACCCACTAGCCACAGGTACCGGCACACTGGTCATTTACCTGGAAGACTACAATGACAATGCCCCCTATGTGGTACCATCAGTAGCACAAGTGTGCGAAGACGCCCATGACATGAATGTGGCTATAGTTGGGGGACGGGACAAGGACCTGCCACCCAACTCTGCACCATTTAAGATAGAACTGGGAAAACAGCCAGGCCTTGATAAAACATGGCAGGTTACCAGAGTCAACTGTGAGTATTTTATTTTGAAATTAGATTTTTTTCTTGCTCTTGAACTGAATTGAACAGTTTAGACATAATAATGGAGTTTAATAACGTTGAATGTTTCAGATTCAGAAATCAAATCTTTCATACAAAAGGAAAAAAGGCCCATTTGTTCACCAACAACTTTCATAGACCACATGACAAAACTGTGAGTCACTTTTTCTTTCCTATTACTTTGCCCTCACTATTTTTCTTTTCATCAAGAGCTTTGAGCCCATTTTCACGGGTTCGTCAAAAGGCACCCTGGGGAATGTAGGACTTAAAATAAAAAGAAGAGTTAGAGAAAGTTGCAAAAGATTCAAGGGTCAAGTCAGTGTCATTTTTTTATCCTTTCACACATTGTTAACATGCTGAGTCCATGCTGAATACAAAGCAGAGAAGTCTTCAAGGTTGAGTGTGTAACATTTAGGTGGATCTATTGGTCTATTATTCATTAGTGTATAATCACCTGAAAATAAGGAGATGCAGCATCTCATTTTTCGATGTGGTCCTAAAGACATAAATATTAAACAAAACACATATGAACAAAGAACAGCATTACATAACAGTCATTCACTTCAAATACACAGATACAGACAGCTCGCTCATCCTTTCCCACCCACTCTCCCTGCTCTCAGTTGATAAACAGAAAAAAAAATTATAAACAGTGACCTGGATAATAAATCAAAAGGACTGAAGCTTATTAAGTAAAGAAAAATTAAAAACATAAACAACACCTTGTTTTCAGATGAGAAAATAAAGACGTCCTTAAACAACGGAACGAGTTAATGGATCTAAAAAAAAGTATACGATTATTCCAGTCAGATGGAGCTTTAAATTGAAATGACCTGCATCCAATTTATTTGAAATTTCTGGGAACAAAGAAAAAAGTTATTGCATGTGTCTAATTGGATATGAAGCTCTACATGGGATTAACAACTGTTTCAGATAGGGGGGGCATTTAAAATAAACGCATTGAACACAGTGAAATTGCCTTCTAGATTTGGCCTCAAATCAGTCCAGTGATTCACACATTGAACATTGGTGTGTTCTATATAAATACCCCAAAATAAATCTATATAAAGAGATATATATAGTATTAAGTGGCTTGAGATAGGTATCTGTAGTGTTTTGATAGACAAAATAGGTAGCAATAAGTAGTATCAACTGAGAAATGATTCTTTTAATGACCTGAAATGCAAAGCAGTTAGTAGACAGATATTGAACCCATGCAACCATATTTTCTTTTTATAATAAAATCAATGTATGGCTTAAAGAGGAGTTCAGGGACAATCCAAAGTCCAAAATATGTAAGTGAATCAATTTTAACAAGGGGTGACCCGTCATCAAAAATAATATTGAAATTTCTGGAATTTGAATGACTATGTTGCATACCAAACAACAAGCTACTTCTTATTCAATACAAGTTTGTTATTATGAACCCAGTTTTGGATCAAGCTAAAATCAAACTGTCGAGAATTATGGTTTTGAAATATATCAGCGTTAGAATAGTAAATAACAGTGTCATCAGCATAAAGATGAACAGCTCAATTTAAACGCTTTTTAGATAGATCATTGATGAAAATGGGAAAAAGAAGTGGTCCCAAGGTGACACCTTGTGGAACACCCTTGTCAACAATTAAATAGTTGAACTTTGAAAGACAACATAATGATGTATATTATGAAGGCAGGCATTAAACCAGAGTAGAGCATTTTGATTTAAACCAATAGAATGTAACTTATTAAGGTGGAGGTAGTGACCCCCGTATTAATTATTAGATCAATTAGTTATGTTTTTGTCACCTTAAAATGAGCGGGTTTTGCCTTCCATTGAGGCTGCCATGTTGAACTACCATGTTTCTACAGTGGCCCAGAACACATTTCACAGCCAAACTATTTTCTCCTTCACTCTTGGAAGGGGAGGGATAAGCGAGGGTAGCAATCGGCAACTATACAGCTAGATGCCACTAAATCCTACACACTACATACTGGTCCATTAATTGCAGATGCTGGTACGGATCACATGATAAAGATGAAGAGTGAAATGATACAAGGATGGAAGGGAGGAGGAGGATAGACAGACAACCAAGACATTGATTCAGGGTTGCATGACCGACAGTGCTGTCTGTGTGTGTGTTTGAGTGACAGAGCAGAGCTAAAACCTGCCCAGAGGTATTAGCTGTGACTGACAGCGGGAGAGGGAGGTACAGACACTCCTCAATCACCCCCGCTGGAAGAGACAGATAGGGCCAGCAGAGAAAGAGCCAGCTCCCAGTGAAATGGACTGGCACTGTGCTCGTCTCGGCTGCGTGTGCATGTGTGTGTTTGTGTCTGTGTGTGGAACCAGAGGTAGGAGAGCGGGTGGTTATGCCTTGACAGTATATTGCTCTATAAAAATAACTTGCGCGTATTGACATACAACTAGTTTTAATCCCTCTTACTACAGATTGTTCATGAACTGGTTTGTGAACATGTATGTGTGCATGCTATTCAATTTTGTTTTCAGATGAAATCTTAACTCAAATCAGTGAATGAATCTAGACTGTTCACACTGGCTGCTGTGTTAAAATATTAAAGCTAGTCAGTTTTAACATACAGATGGGTGAAAGATTAAAGATATAGTTTGACATTTTGGGAACTATGCTTACTCACTTTGTTGCCAAGAGTTTAGATGAGAAAACTGATAACACTCTCTGTAGGATAAATATGAAGGTACCACCAGCAGCTGGTGAGCTTAAATTAGCATGAATACAGGAAATGTGCAAACACCTAGCCTGTAGCGGTCAGTAACAAAATCTCTAAAGCTCCCTATTTAATGATTGTTTAATACAAACGAGACAGAATGTACAAAAAACGAAGAGTAAAAACGACTGGCTCCTGGCTGTAGCTGTATATTTAATGGACAGATATGAGATTGGTATCAATCTTCTCATTGAACTCAAAATGCCAAACTGTTCCTTCAAAAGATAAATGTGAATAAAGGAGTAAAGAAACATGATGTGAAACAAACGGCAGTCTCATCCCAATTGACCTACAGTATGAGACTAAATAATGTTCATTCCTCCAGTAGATTTCCAGAGACTTCAGTAATCTATGCAAAGGAGCGCTGAAGCTGTTCTGAGGGCTTGTGGTGGAATAACACCTGATTAAGACACTTCATGTTGCGTTTTCCATTAATTTGACACCCATCCATATGTGTTATCACTCTGGGTTTAAAAGTGCGTGTGTAACATGATAACTCAATTCCAGAGTACAGAATGTTTGTATAAAACCAACTACCCATAGAAGATTCTGTCTGATTGTACTGATGGTACTGACAGCTGTTTGTTCATTTGTCACACGTTGATCTGGCTTTGTAGAAACTTTCCATACTGCACTCTGCATCAAAATACACTGATGAGCCAGAGAGGTGGGGGTGACTCGTACAAAGAAGGGCCTTTGCATTTCTGAAATGTTTACTGTTGCTTACTGTTGCCTTGCAACATTGTTTCGAGCATGCAGTTTGACAATGTAAATTTTCGAATTAAAGACAAAACTAAAAGTCACCTTACCTGGAGTTAACAGCCGTGGCAGACAAGTAAAATGTGCAGCTTTGCATATTGTGCCAGCATGACGTGAACTGGCTCCAGCACTTTCTCTCGTGTCTCTTAAGGAATTTTAAAGTGTGATGCAACAAAATGTAACAATCTTATGCAACTTATGTGGTGCCAATTTTTGTCGCTTCAGTTGTCAGGGATGGCTTTGCAAACAGTTACTTGAGGCATATAAGTTTTGCGTTATAATACAATCATTTAGTTCTGCTTTGCAAATTGAGCAGCAGTGAATGCAGAATAGACGGACAACACAATGCAGGGCAGAGGATTATTGTGTGCCCTCTTTATTAAACCTCCCTCTTCCTCTGTGTGTCCCCCACAGCCACACACTCCCAAATCATGCTTTTGCACAGTCTGAAGAAAGCCAACTACCAGCTCCCGTTGCTCATCACTGACTCAGGGGTGCCGCCTTTGTCCAACAGCACAGAGGTCAAAGTTCAAGTGTGCATCTGTAAGAAGAACAAGAAGATGGACTGCAGCTCTGCGCACTCCCACCGCGCCAGCCTTCTCGTGCTGCTCGCGACACTCCTGCTCGCCCTACTCTGTAAGTATCAAAACCACAACACGGAAACAATGAGAACTTGAGGTGATGTTTTATTTGCTTGTATCCTCGTTTAAATGTGGATTAATGCCAAAGTAATATGGTATTTTGCTTCCAATTTATCATTTGGTGAGAAATCAATACTTTGTTTAGAAGGTAAACAATATATTGTACTACGGTTATACAAGTGTTTGTGAATGTCTGTGTGTGTGTGTGTGTGTGTGGGTGTGACATGTACTGATACACATGTTTGCATCGCTTGCATTCATGCAATTGTTTTTTTCTTGCATCCATTTTCCAAAACTATGTCTTGTGTATTTCACATTGAGATTTTTTGCCACCCTGCCTAGGGCACTCTCTGGGAAGTCAAACTTGAATTTACTCTGAATATCTCATTTAAGCCATTAGCGATAGCATGAATAATTCAGCCTGCTCCATTGACAACACAAACGTAATGGGGGACGTCCAACAGTTACTTTGGTGCGAAGAAAAATCATTTGCAACTTTAAGGCCCCCAGATCCTGTTCTCCTGTCTGGGCTTGTTCTCTGTAGTTTATAGTTGGGCTCGCTGTACGCCGAAGGCGGGGTATAGCGGGAGGGATGGTAGGGAGAGTGGGGAAAGAGGAGAAGACAAAAAAGGAATGCAATTTTGGGCCTAAAAATGGTTTGGTAGTAATTATATCAGCTCTTTTTTCTCTGGCTGACTTGTGTTTGACTGCAAAATGTTTCATTGAAGATGATCAGAAAAATGTCTGCTTTCCTCTTCCCAGCTCTCTCCTTTTTTTAATATCTATTGATCATAACATATTTTTCTCCTTCTCTCACATGTCCCGTTGATCACTCCCACTTGCGTATTCTGTCTTGTTTTTCCTCCCCTCCCCTGCACAGCTTCTCCTGCTCTTCTGCGTTCTCTCTATTTAGCAATCATCCGCACTCTCCCCATAATCCTTTGCTTACAGGCAGAACCTCTGCATCTCATCTTCTCATTTTCTCTCAGTATCTGTGAATCACAGCATCTAGCATGACCCATCGATCTTCCTCTGGGTATGGATCAATCTGTCTATTGCTGCATATCTTTTCTCCAAGCACTCATTCATAGCAGATGACTGTGTTGTGTATGGGAAGGCCTTGTTTGAAACGTGAAGAACTCATCTTGTTCTCTCATGATGCAGTAAGAGCACTTTACCTGCAACTTCTGTTAAAAACTCCTGATTCGCAGGACACCAAGTATTAAAATAAACTGACAACGCGTAGCAAGCAACAGCAAAAGCACTCCCGCGATGATAGACTATTAGTCACGGTTTCACAGCAACACACTAATCATGAGCGTAAGCTGATGCTGTGTCAGCATTCACGGGCGAGCAGCCACCCCTCGGAAAGTTTCATGGCAGCGATCCTGAGAGTGTCCCAGCTGGAACAGTCAGTTAGCTTTTCATGCTCTCCTTTTTGGAAATATTTTGTTACCAGCGGTTGCCATGGTAGCAGCCTGCAGTGTCTGAACTAGAAAGCATAATTGGTTGACATGCCAAGATGACATTAGGAGAGTCTTCTCTGCAGATGTCCTTTTGCTCTGAACGACAGTAGCATTCATTACTCTACTGTAAACCGTGCAGTGACAGACAGTGGCATTCATTAACCAAATAGCGCCTCCAGATGACAGATTCTTGGGCTGTCTGGTCCTGTGCGCACGTACATGTCCATTCATTTGGACCGAGGCATGTTTGCGTAGTCAAAACAGGCGTAACAGTGAGTGGCGTTACCCTGGAGCTGGAGGATGGAGATTACAGAGAGAGAGAGGAAACAAGAACAGTGTGTGCATGTGTGTTTGTATTGGGAATATTACAGCTGAGCAACACAGGTTCCACCAATTCAGATGCAGAACATCTCTCTCTCTCTACACACACACACACACACACACACACACACACACACACACACAAACACACTGGCGCCCAGAGAGATGACTCCTGCTCGAGCTCATCACAGAGACCTGTGCTGGGGGACAGATAGAGGGGACTGATCACTGCAGTGTATAGTCAGATAGTCTGACAGAGAGGCAGAGAGGATCCTGTTTCAATTCCCTTATCTCCAAGCTGAACTCTGACCCTGCAGGAGGGAGATGAGGGGAAGAAAAATGGAAAGAGCCAGAGGGGAAGGATAGGGAAAGGAGACAAGAATAAAGGTGTGAAGATTAAACTCTTCTGCTTTGTTCTGTTTTTGCCCACCGGGCTACAGGCGTATGCATGGCCACGCTGCAGTAACAGTTTCCTTCATTTCTCTGGCTCATTGCATCTGTATCTCTCCTATCTATCCTGCCCCTCTATTTATGCCCCAACCATGTCTACCAAAAACAAAATTACAACAAATAATTAGCAAAAACAAATCATTTTTCTAAGAGCAACTAATTCTTCCTGACAGCTTCTTGCAACTGTTTTCAAGGTTATGCTAAACATAACCATAACCAAAACTGGGGTGCTTCTCTAACCTTAACCAGACATTCTAGTAGCTCAAACCAGTGGTTCCCTTGGGGTGCCTTAAGCTATATCTACACTTGTGATTTCAAGTGTCTTAGTCTCCCATGAGCTCATACAGATCATTCAGTGGTTGAACTGATCTGTAATCAGATAAACAGCAGCTCGGTGCATGAGATTGTATGTATAGAAATGGCTGGAGCTGTTTTGTCTTGTTGCATTTAGTGTGATGTTAGTGTAACTGTAGCCGCTGTTATCACAAGGACAGAGGAGACAGACCATGGATGTGTTAAGACAAACAGACAGTGAGAGGCTATTTCCACAGACTGTTTATTGACATAGTTACACTTTGGGAAGGATAAAGATTATATATGTGTCTTTTCAGTATGTGGCTAGAATACATCTCTGGAGGTAGTACATTTTCAATAAGATTTCACCGCATAAAATAAACAAAAGACTCATTGACATTGATTACATCTTTACTGTATATTACATTTTCAACATATTAAACTGGAAAAAATAAGCAATAAACACATAAATTACCTATTACAAACAATGTTAATATGCAGCTTTATGATGTGAGAGATCACAGTTTCTGGTTGTCATAGTAGCACAACACACTTCTCTGCAAATTCCAGGTGCACAGCAGTTTAAAGTAAACAGTAAACAGTGTGGAAAGATTTGTCATTGTAAATGGAGCTCGAACAAATGCTGTTACACCTCATCTGAGATGACCGAGCCATAGAACCGAACCCCAAGAGATCTGAAATCAGATTATAATGTGCAGGCTTCTTAGCATATGGCTTTCTGTGGATAGACGCAAACTGTCACACGCTAGAATGCCTCATCTACAGGGAAAAGGTATCACATGTGGCAATGGTACCAAGTAAACTCAAACCAGGAGAAGAAACCTGAACTTAACATGCAGGATGTGAACCCCCGTCTTCAAGTCCATGTGATTGCTCTCCAGAATAAGGATGCCACACTTCCTGGATGGTAAAAGCGAGAGATTTCCAGTGAATTCATCAAAGTTAAATTAAGTACACAGTATGAATATATTTTATATGAGACAGGGTTGTTGTGTGTTTTGTGTCTGAAACATATAGTTATGTAACACAAGACAAGAACTCTAGCCCTCTGTCAGTAGCAGTAAGGATTTTGTGTGTATGTGTGTGTGTGGACTGTGGGTGATGTATTTCTGTGTATCTGAGTGTTCGAGAGAAGAGAGAGAAAATGACTGTAAACAGAAAATGCCTCAGTTCCATATCCCATCTGAAAAATCACATTTCCTTAAAAACAAATGCAGTGATTTGCACTTATATTTCCTACAAACACAAACAAGACAAAAAGAGGAAGATTAATCTCTTAGTCTCCATAAAATGACACTTGAATCAAGAGAATTGACGAATCAAGCTGATTTTGGTTGAAGGGAAAGATGATCTCTCGCCCACTGACAGATTGTCTCTTGTTGTGTGGATCTACTGGAATCCAAAGGAATTGAAATGATGTGTGGGTTGTGAAGCTTGCTTGTTAACATGGTGGAGAACTGCACTGCTGCTGTCAGCGGCCTGGGACCGATCTCACCCTTCCATCTGTACCTGAAACCTCCAAGATTCCTTCAGCAGCGTTCAGCGTAGCAACACTGCCAAAAGTAGAGCCTGGCTTTCTGTCCTAGCTCTCAGCCATATAACACTCCACTGGGGTTGCTTTTCAGACCCTTAAATAATGTATGTAAACCTGCAGGACACAGAGGGAGGGCAAGCGAGTGCCTGTGTGTGCAGTATGCCTACATATACTGTGTCTTCTAATGCTTATGAGACCTTTGTTGCTGTTGCTGGATTGGCAGCTAAATCCCAGGGCTTTGCATGGGCCTACTTTCACTCCCCTCCATTGTAAGCCTTTCTTTTGTGATCAATGTGCCATAGACTCTCACACACATCCAATACACACATACACACACAGATTAGCATAAAGTAGGGAACAATTATGGTATTATCCTGCAGTCCTGTAGAGGGAAATGCTAGCGATATATAAAGACCAACACACATACACACTTAGATCCGCGGTGTTAAATGTCCATGTGAAAGCATCCATTGTTCACCTGAGATAAGACTTCCTAATTGGGCAAACTAAGTGCAGTCAATACGTGCTCCCATAGGCTGCTGGTGCACACAAAAAGGACGGCCACTCATAAGAATGAATCCTAATTTTAGAAGTGATTACAAGCAGGAATGCTCTGCTTAAGCTGGTTTTACTGCTCACAGGTGGCACACCAACACAGATGACCACACTGCCCCCTATCAGTGCACAAGTGTACTGATGTGCTGTGCAGTACATGCACTATCTCTTTGCAGCAGCCTTACTGTTGCTCAAAATGAAATTCTCGAAGTGGATGATGGGCGCCTGGAGGTCATAAGTTGGCAAGGTTGGACAGTATGTAAATAATGTGCATTTTACATGTAGAGGTGATGTGGGCCCTGGAGATTAATATGTTTTTGCCCTGTGTGTGAATTTGGCTTATGAGGGATGTGA